TATATCATATTTATTTTAATAGAACTATAAACCAAAACCATTAACCATCATTATTAAAGAGCTGGTTGACTCATCAAATTCATGCTAAAAATGGACACTGAAAAAAAAATGCTTGGCTCTTCCACATCCTATACTATGCTTTTAATGCACTTTCCTTTTAATAAAGGCTAAATGGTAATTAACAGACAAGCATAAATACCGGCAACCACCGAGTTTAAAATTCAATGAAATATTTATAAAAATGACTTCACATTAAGTTGTGCCAGGGCTTAATGAGAACATTGATATTTTCAGTAACCCATGATTCTTAATCACATTAGACAATTACGCTTTCCTAATTTTCTGAGGGATTGTGCAGAATTCACTTGACCATTTTCAGTGGTTTCAGTCATCTAGATTGATGGTCTTTATGTTGGCGGATTTTACAGTCTGAGGTAATTGCCTTCCCTCCCCCTCAGTACCTCAAAACTAGTTTCATCACTCTTAGTGGGGCAACAACCAGAAAAATAAAGCATTGTCATTAATCACCACTGGGCTGCTATCATGGTCGTTTCAACAGGCATGATTAAAATACAGCATTAAGAGAATGCCAAATGCATGATTTTCAGGATCAAAGCATTATGTGTGACCTTTTTATGTGTGGAAAAATATACTATCAATTCTGACTCTTCAACAGAGATATTAACATTAGCGATAGTCTGCACATTTGTACTATATAGAGCAGCATTCATGCTATAAGCACAAAAAGTGCTGCATAACAGCGGAATAGTACAAGATGCCATATGTGCCACAGGTTCATATTGTGGTGCTGTTATACATGTCGTTATAATAAAACATCTACATTTGTCCCTCTGTTCTTGATCAGTGCCATAATCGAAACTCTAGATTGAAGGACTGTCAGAGCAAAAAGCGTCTTGTAACCAAGCATAAGTAAGGTCATGCAATTATAAGTGAAAATGCCATTTTGGTGCTCTCTGACTTCAGCTCTTGAAACAGACGGAGCTGAGAGCTTTCCTTAGCAGGGATCTTATTAAAGTCAGCCGTCATTTAAAAAAAGAAATATAATTTGAAATGTCCATGCCCACATTTTCATTCTTCATGAAACAAATGTTGACAAGAATGTAATGCTTCTTAACTCATTTCATTGACATTTCAATTTCTATTAAAGTGTGGCCCTTTATTGACCCCAGTATTTGAGAAAACAAGGGGATACTGCATCTGTTATAAAACAATAGAACGGTTATAAGGGACCATCTTTTGGTCTCCAAGTGGCACTTGTGCTCTGGGCTGAACTGATGAAAACCTTCAAAAGCATTTGAGGTTGATTAGGAACAGTCTTGACAAAAGATGGTGATCAAAAGAGGTCAGTTAGGTCAAACTAGAACTACAATTTATGACTTTTAAGGTGTATACATGCTGGACAAAGGCAAAGCTAAGCTACAATCTAGGTCTATTGGTCCGATTTTGCAAAAATCTGAGTGTTTATATATATATATATATATATATATATGACATTTCAAAAAGAACAAATATTTAGCTCAACTGAAATGTGACTTAAAAGTAAATGTAAAAGACACATCGTAAAGATAAATTGAACCTTGCAATAATGTAGCATGGCAAAGACTGAAATGATAATTTTTCATAGTGATGACTTTGATAGATGGCATTGACTTTGTAACTGAGCATATATCATTTAATATATTTTATAAATCATAAGTACTGCAAATAAGTAAAAGTCATTAAATATAGTGCATCCAGCTGTTGGTAAAAGCTGAGGTTTGCATCCACATATTGAAAAAAACAGCTGACAAGTGTCTGAATCAACCATTTTAATTATCAAATCATAATAAAATAAAGAGCAAAGCATATGAAAATATTCACTACCTTTAAATATCAACCCCATTTCTTGAAGGTGCCTTTAATCAAAACAATAAATGAAACTGTAAAAACCTTGACCGTAATAAATAGCTAAAAATGTCATGCAGAGACTATATGTTTTCCCACAACCTTGATTTGCAGCAGTTCCATTAGTGTGATTACACAAGTTTTCCAACAGGTAATATTTCCTTTCACATCTTTCATTATCAAATCTTTTTATATTTGAGGAATTAAAAAAGGATAAGTCTTGTGCAATACATTTCATAATCAAGTGTCAAAGGGGACTTTACTGTGTATTTAGAGGTTCTCATGCATATTTTGTTATGTCTACACACTTTTTTATGAATCACTGTTAGTTCCTGAATAAGAAAAAATAAATAAAGACTACACCTTGGTCACCCAATTAAATGATGGATCATTTAATTTCCTAAGATCATGCAGTAAATTTGAACCTAGGGAAGCTTGTCTGGCATTCCAGAAAAACTATCCCGGGATCAAACCTAGATGATGTTCACAAGAAATAAGGATTTACAGTCTATTGCTATACTTTCTGTCTCCTTATTCATAATGACTTGAAACTTACTCACTGGTACAAAAAAAAAAGGAAAAGAAAGGCATAATGTGCTCTCACGACAATCACCCAAAAGTCTTTCTAAAGGGAAAGAAAGCACTGCGGCATTTGGACAAGGTTGAGTTAGCCGTTGACCAGCATTAATGGCAGTCTGCAGGACAGGGGGAAGGCGCAGTGGTTAAGTTGCTGTCGCTGGGGCTGGGCTCGGGGTCCATATTTGTATTGACCTTATCATAGATGTACCCATAGAGGCTGATGTTAGGCCTCTGGAGATGCTTAGACACCACATTAGAGTACTGCTTTAAGTAGAAGTACAGAGTGCCTGAGAGACAGAGAGAATAAAAGAGAAAGAGGGGGAAAAAAAAGATTTGAGGGATGGCAAGCATCATGGCGTCAGCCGAGTCTAGAGCCATTCATAAATCACAGAGCGCACGAGTTTACTGCCGTCTCCACTTTAGTACAATAGATGGCTGACAGCGTTTTCTCAAAAAGGTTTCAATAAATGTCACAAAGGAAAAATGGGACAGAAACAGTGGGGTCAGTTGAGACAGAACTTCACAATACCAAAGAGCACTAATGGTATCATTTAATTATGCGAAACAAATGGTTCAATATTGCAGTAATTTCAAAATTAGCAAATGTATTGTACGGTTTGTCATATTTATTTGATTTTTACACACACATACAACCATTCGAAAGTTTAGTCAGTAAGATTAAAATAAATTAACACTTATTCTGTAAGTATACATTAATTTAATCAAAAATGTCAGTAAAGACTTTTACATTGTTATAAAAATTGTATTTTCAATAAATGCATCAAAGATTTCGGAAAACAAAAGTAGCATAATTTCCACTAAAATATTAAGCAGCAAATCAACATATTAGAATGATTTCTAAAGGATCATGTGACACTGAAGACTGGAATAACGGCTGCTGAAAATTCCGCTTTACCATCATGGGAATAATGCATGACATTTAAAAAAAAAATTTTTTTTTTAAAAAAAATTTACTCTAATCTGTTTTATTTACAGCTTCAAACATTTTTTGTAGTGTGGTTTGAATTTGATCTGCTACAGGTTCCAATCCCATTTCTGCTCTAAAATATTACTGTTTTTACTGTATTTTTAACAAATAAATGCAGCCTATACACACACACCTCCAATGAGCACAAACATTAATTTTTAAAAAATGTGCACGAGAAATCTGAAACAGATCTGTCTAACAATGATGCAAATGTAACAGGCCCCTTACCGACAGTGACGCACTTGTCTTTAAGAAATCTGTACATGGCATTCACGTCCCTCATGAGTTCCTCATCTCCAAAAGTGAAGTAGGCCACATCTCTCCCCGCCTCAGAAGCTGCCATAAACTGCAGCAGAGCTGGAAGGACAAATGGACACAGCTGACAGTGAGCAAAAGTTTCACTGGGCCTGCAGCCATAAACACCATTTAGAAAGCCTTACATATTTCACATTCATTTCTCTTTAAAGCATGCATCCCTAAACAGAAATGACATGCATACATTCATGAATGGATTCCAGTCACTAATGCATGGGAATATAGAATACAAAAGAAGAAAAATGCTATGTAGATACCCCTCCCACCCCCATTAGCAAAATGAAGGGCCAATCAACCGCTGCATGTTCTATGTATGACTGATATTCTCTGAGGTTCCCGAGTAAATACTGACAGCTGCCCAACTCAAATGACTAAACATGGTATAATACATCACTAACGGCATAGTGTGGATTCTTTTGTTTTGCTCCATGTTCCTAGCTGTAGAAAAAATTACTGACATCCAATGTTTTTTTTAAAGGTAAATAATCCATGTCTAACAACCCCTATTAAGAAACTCAATCTTAGTCACCCAGCTTCAAATTGAGTCTAAAGATTTTAAATATTTAAAGAGGTTGAATGTAGCCCACTGATGAATGAACGTTGTTCAAATGAGAGCAACCAATTACAATGGGTAATCTGTAGTCAAACCAGTGCTAAACTAAACGGATTGGCCCAAAAAACTCAGCCTCAAGATGAATTTACTGTGTGGCAAGTCATTGGGAGAAATTAACTAACTCCACACATACAGACGGCCCATGGTTCAACAATGATGAACTATCAAAGATGGAATCATCTTATGAAACGGTTTCCAGCCTTACAACAGAAAACGATCAGCTGGCACAAGCTTGCCATGAATTTATGGATGAGGTTGGAAAATCAGTTGCACTTTTAATGGAAAACATAAATGTGTGTCAGCTGATCAATAACAGGAAAGTGGAAAAACATGTCTTGGGTCAAAAAACAAAGTGAGAGAGCTTCTCTGTATTGTCTGATTGCTAAAACAACAAAATCAGAGGTGATTAAAAAAACAATGAAAATCTAGAGATAAATATGCTCAACTATGTAGGATTATTTCTCATACTCCAAATTATAATGCTGTGATGCCTACATTCATTTGTAGCATTTAAGAGGCTGATTTAAGGTTTTATTTTATTAGACAGTAGGGCTGGTCCGAATACCATTTTTTGAGCTTCGAATCTTCGGTAGTAATCAACACCGAATATTTGAAGCTTCGGAGGGAGGGGGCTGAACATATTCTTCTCTCCAAAGGCAGGAATCGTCTAGGTTACTTGTGTAACCCTCGTTCCCTGAAGGAGGGAACGGAGACGTTACGTCAGTCGTGACTGACGAATTGGGATCTCGCCCGAGAGCCCAATCACCTTCGAGTGTTAACTAAACAAGCCAATGACAGTTGGCGTGCGTGTTTTGCCACGCATACCCCGCCCCGCAGCGCGGGTATAAAGCCCCAATCGGCTGAGGTGACTGAGCACCATATCCCTGTGTTTGAAAGATTTTTATTTTTTCGATTTGTTTTATTTTGTTAAGTGGTAATTTAAAGCTTTCTATAGATTTATTTATCATGCCTGTGAGGCATGTATTCGCTGAGTTTCGATTCATTTTTGTGAAGCGCTCCTGTTCAAGACGAGACGGCAGAAAGCGCATCATGTTTGTTTTCTTTATTTTATAAAAGTGGCACCTCCATGTCCTGCAAAGCGCGCTTCAGCTTCCTCTCTCTGCACAAACTTGGATATAGCGCGCATTTATTATAGCGCAGGTTTAACGTTTAAACATTGTTATATGCTTGAACTGTTTTAGTATATCTAGATTTTATTTTAGGCAAGTCGTGATGATTTGAGAAGGCTAAATTGATCAAACATAGGTGATCAGCTCACTGTCTGCTGCTTGGTCGTTACTTTAAAAAACAAAAACGTATATTTAACGAACGAAAATGCTCCAAACGTTTTTCGAAATTAACTTAATAAAAAAAACGAAACGAAATATAATCATTTATCTATTTGAATAGCTGAAAGAGTAGTATAAGCTGTTTTGGGAGAAGGGGGAAAGAAAGACGGGCTCGGGCCGGTAATTCTGATAAGCTGTCAGACAAGGGCCGGGGCCTGAGCGTCTCGGGCCAGGGCCAGGCCTAAATTTGAGGTCCATGCAGGGCTCTACTGCTTTTGTCTTGTCCTCACTCAATTTAAAGTGCTCCCACACAGCTGAGGTCTTCGGCACTTTTGTCTTCTCTTCCAGATTAACTGAATCATGACGTTCATGACATTCACTCATGGGCGATTCATATTCAAGTGCGAATGAGAACCGTTTTGCGGGGGATGCCAGGCGTTCGGAAAAAAATGAAAAGAATATTCGAATCTCAAAATTGAAAATCGAATGCCAACCCACCAAACGAATATTCGAATATTCTGGTAAAGCCCTATTAGACAGTACAGCAATATAGACTTTAAATATCAGTCATTAATGAGTTATCGGCCATAAAATGATAACTAACAGTTAGAATCTCAATAATGGTCAAAATTGTAATATTGGTGCATGAAAATTCAGACGGAAATGTCCTATAAGAATCCATCTTTAAAACTGTGTAGCTTCACTTTGTAAGGAACAGATGATGGTTTTATTTTCCATTCCACGACCTGCATGTACCTTTGAGTCGCGTGTCGCCTCCAAACGCACCACATCCCCAGTTTCCTGTGGCAACAGCGGAGAGGTTCTCAGGGTTCACAGCAGGTCGCATGAAACCGCAATATGCCTGAAAACAGGAGACAGCTATATATCGTAGAGAAACAAATACAAGCTAATCACAGCAGAATACAAGAGACTCACAAGACGACTCATGTCATGCCTCATTAAATCCTCTAAGCAACACAGACTGGCAAGGTTAAGGAAATCAAAGGCCATTAGAGCTTGACAGAGGTCAAGGATTTGCCATTTCATGTCATCAGTATTTTATAAAAGCACAACGTTTTGTTGATATTGTGAGTGCACACAAATACAAGTATACCCTTTACAGTTCCGAATGATGTATTATTCTTATCTTTATGAGCAAAAATGACAGCGTAGGCTATTTTAAGTTGTTTCCACTGAAAAAAAAAATGCAAGTGATTGCGCTGGCACCTCCATGTCCTGCAAAGCGCGCTTCAGCTTCCTCTCTCTGCACAAACTTGGATATAGCGCGCATTTATTATAGCGCAGGTTTAACGTTTAAACATTGTTATATGCTTGAACTGTTTTAGTATATCTAGATTTTATTTTAGGCAAGTCGTGATGATTTGAGAAGGCTAAATTGATCAAACATAGGTGATCAGCTCACTGTCTGCTGCTTGGTCGTTACTTTAAAAAACAAAAACGTATATTTAACGAACGAAAATGCTCCAAACATTTTTCGAAATTAACTTAATAAAAAAAACGAAACGAAATATAATCATTTATCTATTTGAATAGCTGAAAGAGTAGTATAAGCTGTTTTGGGAGAAGGGGGAAAGAAAGACGGGCTCGGGCCGGTAATTCTGATAAGCTGTCAGACAAGGGCCGGGGCCTGAGCGTCTCGGGCCAGGGCCAGGCCTAAATTTGAGGTCCATGCAGGGCTCTACTGCTTTTGTCTTGTCCTCACTCAATTTAAAGTGCTCCCACACAGCTGAGGTCTTCGGCACTTTTGTCTTCTCTTCCAGATTAACTGAATCATGACGTTCATGACATTCACTCATGGGCGATTCATATTCAAGTGCGAATGAGAACCGTTTTGCGGGGGATGCCAGGCGTTCGGAAAAAAAAGAAAAGAATATTCGAATCTCAAAATTGAAAATCGAATGCCAACCCACCAAACAAATATTCGAATATTCTGGTAAAGCCCTATTAGACAGTACAGCAATATAGACTTTAAATATCAGTCATTAATGAGTTATCGGCCATAAAATGATAACTAACAGTTAGAATCTCAATAATGGTCAAAATTGTAATATTGGTGCATGAAAATTCAGACGGAAATGTCCTATAAGAATCCATCTTTAAAACTGTGTAGCTTCACTTTGTAAGGAACAGATGATGGTTTTATTTTCCATTCCACGACCTGCATGTACCTTTGAGTCGCGTGTCGCCTCCAAACGCACCACATCCCCAGTTTCCTGTGGCAACAGCGGAGAGGTTCTCAGGGTTCACAGCAGGTCGCATGAAACCGCAATATGCCTGAAAACAGGAGACAGCTATATATCGTAGAGAAACAAATACAAGCTAATCACAGCAGAATACAAGAGACTCACAAGACGACTCATGTCATGCCTCATTAAATCCTCTAAGCAACACAGACTGGCAAGGTTAAGGAAATCAAAGGCCATTAGAGCTTGACAGAGGTCAAGGATTTGCCATTTCATGTCATCAGTGTGAAACACAGAAGAATATTTGCTTGAAGACTTTGCTGACCTTGTTTAGCTCCCGGATCATTTTCTCAGGCTGAAACTGTTCCATGAAATTCCTGTATTTCAGTGCATCCACAGCCACAATTTCAGTGCACCTCCGCTGCCACCCGTCTCTGAAAATGGGAAAAGATGTTTATTTTATTCTGGGCTTTTTACTATCCGCAAACCATGGCTTGGTTATATTCAGGATAGCTAACTACATTTTTAAAAGTGTAGGAACCCATTTAAGAGGTGTTTCCAGTAATTCATTATTGCCATTACCTGGGAATCTCATCTTTGTGATTGGCTTTCCATCTGAAGCTCTCTGCATAGCCAGAGTACTTGCTGTATTGCTCTGTGCCTAAAGGAAGACCAAATAAATAAAACAGAAATACATAAGTTGAGGGTAATTCCTATTACAGTATCCATAACATTTTCTTGTCCCCAACATATTACAGAACGAAATAACTTTAATCACAAAATCAAAATGATGTGAACATTAAGGTGAGATTTATACATGCAATTATTTATAATAATTATTTATTATTTAATAATAATAAGTTAAGTGAGGATCTTTTTTTATTTTTATTTTTTAGGATTTTACCTAAGCAAAGGCTCTGAGAACCTGACACCTTCTAATTCTGGAGACGCTTGCAGTTTTGGAAAGTGGTTCCTGTTGGTTTCACACCTAACTCTTCACATTAATTCTTAATTCTTTTGCAGTTAACCTGTTTTTTTCTGACCCAATGAGCATTTCGCTGTACAATGGCCTTAAATTGGCCAATTCTAGTACTGCATTACTATTGCATCCTTCTCATAGGCATTTAATAATTTTTGACTTTTCATTCTGAGTTAAATCTCTTTTTTGGCTAATTTTATCTGTAAAAGAAAACCTTCTTGATAATTATGCACACCTGAATATAGGTTTTTCACTTCCAGTCTTCATGAACAATTATATATAATTTATAAATGATTAAATAATGTGATTAGATTGATGTGGTTTGGAATTGGTAAAATGTGCTTGGAAAAAAATGATCAGAATATCAACTTGCATAATAATTATGCACGCACAGAAACAACCATATTATAATACTTGATGACTTCATATAAGCGGCTATAAGTATGTGTGCAATTTTCCTTCTTAATTTTTATTTAATTGCATCTCTTTCATTATTTATAATAAGATGTCCAATATTACAAAAAGGTTGTTTCTGATAAAACTAGACAACTATGATATTATAAGCTATTTTATAAGCTAATATAAAATAGTAAAAGCAGTATTAGTAATAATAATTATTATTAATATTACTATTATTATTTGTATTGCTTAGACTATCCATGTAGAAAAACTATATATAGTTTTCCAATTCTATCAGAAACAACTATACTATAACTAGCTAGAAGTGCCCTCATTAAATATTGCACACAATTTTCCTTCTTGATTGTTTCATAATTGTATACAGTACATCTATTTTATTACTTTTATGATGCTCAAATCAAACCACTTGCTTGAGTGACTCTATCCTGATGGAAAAAAATGCTTCCAGACACTGCGCATCTCCCAACTATCATGAAGACCTCTAGAATCCTCCTCCCTCACCTTGATCTAATTAGCGTTTGTGGCCGGTTTCAGTGGCACTCTGACAAAGAGCAATTTCAAGATTAAAATCCAGCCCCTGTACCAACGCTTCAGCATTTCTGCCAAGTCTATTGACGCAGAAAGAGTGCATTAAGGAGCGCGTGTCATGATGCATTACTGGCGGGATATGATTTGATGCAAAGGCGAGCTGCAGTGCAATAGAAACGGAGATGACGATGAATATTTCGTTTGTTGTAATAACCGTGATGGAATGGCTGGATCCATTAGAGAAGGCCGTTCCCGCAGTCATTCATTGTGGCCAGAGGTAATATTGTTAAGTGGAAGGAGGAGGCATCAAGGGTGAGACAGAGAACGTAAGTGAAAGAGAGAGAGATGACTAATATCTGAGGGTATTTTGAGACTGGGGTGGAAAGCTCCAAGTTCACAGTGACTTTGAGGCTGATTTGCAGAATTATAACTCACTAACACAGCTCTGAAAATGACTTCCCAGTGGTGTATAACCACTTCTGTGCCAGACTTCCAGGAAATTACATATTAGTTTGAAAGCCACAATATTCTGATTAACAGTTGTGCATCTGTGCAACAGTTTGAGTCCTGTGCTTTGTTTGGAAGACGACAAAGTGCATGGGTGGATGAGAAACGAGAGGGACAGCAGGTGTGTGAGTGGGCAACAGCCAATCACAGCGCAACATTTCTACATGGCTGTGACTGCAGTCATTCCTTAAAAATAAGGAGAGCATTCAACTACGCAAACAGAAGAAAAGATTTGACTCTCTTGTCAACCATTTAAACCAACATGGTTCTAAGTGATGTCTGTCTGACTTTGAATGTAGGTTTTAAGTAAAGCTGGATGATACTCAGTGATTGACAAGTAACTCTGTTCCATTTTAATAAAAAAAAAAAAAAAAAGAGCAAGAGGAAAACGCAAAGCTCACTTTGTATCCTGTCTGCATCACCAGATAGGAAAACAAAGACACATGGCACATCATGGTGTCAGCCTTGGAAGAACCTTTTTTATATAATGTAGGAGGTCATACATTTCAGTTTCTCCAAGCCGTCATAGTTTTTCAGGCTCAAATTTCCCTTGAGAGATACTAATAATGTAGAGAAACATTTATGACACATCAGGGTTATTTACAGCAACTAAAACTGTACAAAAACAAATTGTTACCTGAAATAAAATATACATTTTAAACTGAAATAAAATGAAATAAAAATGTCTACAGTTTTTTTATTCATTTTTATTTTAGTTTGTTATATTAGTGCATTAAGTTAAACTAAATTAATAATAAAAAAACTAATAAAAGTAAATTAAAAACTAAAACAAAAAAAAAATGTAAGTGAAAATAAAAGATAAAAAAAACTAATATAGTATAGCTGATACTAAAATAACACTGTGACACATTTTGGATTGGCATATAATTTACAAGCATTACTCAAGTAATTATGTAATTATTCTTTGTAATTATTTAAATGGATGGTTCAATCAAAAATTTAAAATTTTTAAAGTAAATGTTTTTTTTTTTAAATGGCTGTTTTTTAATTATACATTGAAAGTCAATGGTCACCAAAACTGAACATCTCCAAAATATCAAAATGTCAATATTACTGTTTAACATAATGCAGAGTGGCAGCTCTTGTAGGCTGCATTTACATTGCAGTTATTGACAAATTAATTTTCAATGACATTTCCACCAATTAATTTTAAAAACTACTTTGATTGAGCCAACTGAATTTTGATTCTTATTAATAAATCGCTTAAACTGCTTTACAAACTAATTCATTAGTAAACTTTACTCTTAAAACAGTTCTTAAGAATCCATAACTAGTAATCAAAACCAATAGCCATCAGGTAACCCAGTGTTTCCCAGCCTTTCTTTAGTCGCGGCACCCTTTGGAAATTTTAACAAATTTGTGGCACCCTACAAAATTAATTTTGTCACAATATTTCAATTTCTAACTTCGATATGATACTTTGAAAAGTATAGATATTCGGTACAGCAGAGAAGAACTGCAGAATATACTGCCCCTGCTCTCGACAGACGGCACCCCGGTTGGGAAACACTGAGGTAACCTACCGCTAAGTACAGCTAATACTGAATTGACTAGTATTAAAACCTCTCTTAAGTTTTTTTTTTCTTATTGATTGGCACTGAAGTACCACTACTTTCCTGTGTGTGTATCATTCTGTAGCAATAGAGGGAGGAAAGGAGCAGCAGGGATCACATGCTACAAACAACAAGTGAGGAAGGAAAGAGACAACCTGTTTGTGTTATGTATCGGATGCAGGACATTTACTCATGACCTGGGCTCCTCTCCAATCCTGCCACTCAGTCAAAAAAGCACAGTTCATAAAGGATGAACAGAGTGATGGAAGAATAGCACAGAGACAGAGACAGACACAGAGGAAGAGGGAGAGATATTTAGTGTGAGGAAAGGGGGGTTGTCACTTAACGTGTTGACTCAAGCACAGCGAGTTGGAGGGTGAAAAATAGGGCAATTCAGCTAGAGAGAAATGAAGAATAACAAGGCTGCCCTGAGCCCAGCGTGAATCAATGTAATGGATTTACGTTCAAATTGGATGAGGAGGGAAGATGGGGGGAGGGGTGGTAAGAATGGAGCTGAATGTATACACAAGCTTCTGCGAGAAATGGCAAATTGCTAGCGGCAAAAACATGTGAGGTGCTATCCAGCTCACTATAAGTAGTGTTAGAGAAGCGTGATTACAGTGACCGACTTCATTAGCGGATGAAATCAAACCTGATCCCTCCCGATAATCGGATCCGGCATCAAACATAGATACCTAATAACATCTATGATTACTTTACTCTATCTTGATTCAAACCCCGCAAAATAAGCTGAGTGATTTTATGATGTTTGTTTCTGTTAATGGCTTTTGAATGTTTACAATATTGCTTCAAACAATGTGCTAAAACCCTGTGACAGTACCATCTAGTGCCTTCCAAATTGTGAATGAATCTTCTAAAATGAATGAAGTGCAATCTGATTCACTCAACGAACCACTGAATTACTTCTGGCCATCTCTGATGACTCAAAGTGAACCAAAATCTTCTGCTGTGTTGTGACGAAAAACTTGTGACGAATAGTTCACAGTAAGTACAAAAATCAAAACTAACTAACTAACTAAATAAATAAATACATTTATAATGGTCTTGTTAAGGCAAAGGATTTCACACTGGATCCACAAGGAGGACAATTTTTGTTAAAAAAAAAGAATTTGTTTTGTCAGTTGTTTAATATTATGCTTTCTAGTTTCATTATTAGTTTCTATGCTTTTTGGTGAAAAGTGCTACATAATTTTAATTGAATTGAAATGTTTCTTTCCATGTTTATACAAGATACACTAAAGCTAATATTTTTGCCTTTGCTTTAGAACAATGACTATAAATAAGCTAATCATTTTATTTAGGAAACAACACTATCTTCATAACATCACGCTTTATTTTTCCTCACACAGTACAAATGCAGCTGCCATGATTTTTTGAAAGAGGTCCCTCGCAAAGATATTGCCATAATTGGAGGTCCTTCGCATTAAAAAGTTTGAAAACCTCCATGTTAAGAAGGCAGAATCGTTAAAATTCCTTACGAATCCTAAGCCAACTTATTATATAATAAGCCATAGGTTCATCTAAGTACAAAAAAGGTAATATTTTCACACATTTTAGACGACCAAGTTCAAAGTGTTTGAACAGCTAGAAGGGAGGAACAAGACACTTCAGTAGTGGCTGAGATCAATCAGACAGAGATGCGTGATGGTGTGCAGGACAGACGGCAGGGAGGAGCGGACCTCTTCCACTGCTGTGCATGTGTGTGTGCTGACCTGTGATGATGAGGCACTCGTTGTGGTCCAAAGCTTCTGTGAAGAGGCGTGATACCATGAGCTCAGGGTTGATGATGAAGCGGATCTCCTCCTGGACCAACCCCATACCTGTCACCCCTCCACCCACGAGCCTGTTCGCAAAGTCCACCTGCAGCACAAATAAAAACACATTCATCTTCTGCAAAATTGTTCAACTGGTCTAAAGTGTAAAAAATATGATTTCATCCTTGGTGTGAAATAATGTTACGGTACAGAGATCTATGATACTTGTCTGAACATTCAAATGGTCAGACTGTAAGCCAGGTTGTCTGTCCAGCATGTCACCAGAGATTATAGGTTCTGGGTAGGGGACAGGGTGCTAAAATGCACAGGGGTGGAAAATAGACTGCTCTACCCGACTGTGCGTAAAAAACTACAAAAGATGAGAAAAGTAAAAGGAGGAAAGAATTTTCTGCACCGTTCTGGGGACCTTTAAATTGTGCACAATTTTTGGTGCATGTACAAATCCAAAATTAACTTTTTGCTACACCTGCTGATATTTCTCATCTGCCATGATATTGTAATTAAAACAGAACAAAATAAAAATAAAAATCTTTGGGTATAAAAAATATCAATGAGGTAAATAATTAAAATAATAAATGAAAAAAAAAATCCTAAATTATAATTAATAAACATGAAAAAAAATTAACTGATGTAAAACACATGCATAACAGACTTCTGTCCACTGTGACCCTGCAGGTTGCTGCCAAGGTCAAATGTCCATTCCCTCTTTGCTGAATAATGGATCTTTTAAGGACTGGCCATTAGCCATGAAGGTCAGATAATTCAAACAAATTAGTAAATATGTTCACAGCTTCTAGGCAGACCATTTAAGCTTTGGTTTTATGTAATACTCTTGTATTTTTATTTAGAAAATGATTTTATACTACCACACATTATATGACCATGGACCACAAAACCAGTCATAAGGGTAAGATAATAATATATAATCATATAAATAAGCGGAATAAATAAGATTTCCGTTGATGTATGGTTTGTTAGTTGCATCTCAGCCAAATATTGTCCTATCCTATTTGAAAATGTGGAATCTGAGGGTGCAAAAAAAAAATCAAAATATTGAGAAAATAGCCTTTAAAGTTGTCCAAATGAAGCCCTTAGCAATGCATATTACTATACAAAAATGAAGTTGCTACAAACTTATGACTGGTTTTGTGGTCCAGGGTCACATATTACATTATACAACTAGAGTATATTATACGTACTACTGGCATTAGTATTTATATACCATATCAGGGCTCAACAATAAGGGTGGCCTGATGTTTTCCAGAAAGTGTCTAAATTATATCATATACTTACATCGCAGATGTTTTTTTGTAAAGAAAATGTTAAATTAATATAATTAACAGAATAATGACATTTTCTGACATAAATAAAAATGGTTTTGCACTGCTATTTATCACATTTGTGGCACTAAAATGTTGAAAGGGCAAAAATGACAAAGTCCAGGAGAAAATAAATAAATAAATACATATAAAACATAAAATACATAATTATATGAGTTACATGAGTGACTGGCTTGTGGCACTGCTAAATTCTGTTGTGGAAGCCATTTCCTCAGTGCTGTCTCCTATTGTTATGCATTTTTATAGGGGAGTGTGAGCAGCAGTGCTAATATTGGCCCAGGACAGCTTTGAAAAGGTAAACGGGAAGTGTAGGACCCCTTTGAGGCTGTGTTTTGCAGGCTGTCAGGCTGGACTCACTGGGCCACAGCCTCCTCAGTGAGATGGAGGAGAAAAGGGGAGGGAGGTTGGCAGGCTGCCAGATGATCTCGCTGATCAGGTCACTCAACTCCAGCTCCGACCGCCCCGCCTCTCCTCAGCACTACTGACAACCTGTCAGACTGTCCCACCCTTCCGGAAACATCCGTCAATCCGGCAGGCAAGACCCCGGGCTCCTGGGACCTCCCAGGGCTGTTCATGTGTGCCCATCAGCTGTCAGGGTGTGCCCTGCCCCAACTGGGGAAAGATGGGAAAAGGACAGCAGGGCAGAAGACCCCGGCAGACAGACTCTGCGATGAACTCGAGAGGTGCAGGGAGGAATGTGATCAGGGCCAACGGATCTGCCGAACCTCAGTCAGTTGGGTCAACAATGAGATGTTTAAGTTGTTTTTTTCATATTGCGTCACAGACTTGTCTGAAATCTTTGACATGTTATGTCCAATATGAATATGATCTGCTATGAAAAAAGGTGTAATTTGTACTCCATAAAAACAAAACAAAGCAAATCTAGACATATCAACAAAAACACTCTCCTTGCTACCGTATATTATAAAATATGCATATTTTGGAGAAAACTTAAGATATGCATACTAATGGAAATAAATCTACTCTTTAGGCCCGTTCACACCAAAGAGGATAATATATAACTAGTGTTAAAAATCGCTCTGAATGTAAAAGAATAGCAGAGTCCATATGACAACTTATGATATTGTTGGAATCACTTCCACATAATTTTTTACTGCTGATGGAAGCTAAAAACACTGAAAGCCAATCAGAATCGATTCTGCTTTAAAGAGCTTAAGCATTTAAAGAGACAGATGACAAAACTGAATGTTCATAATCAATAGAATGGTATCCTAAGTCATAATGGCATTATCATCCTTTAAAAAAGTAATTTTTTCAAGTACAAGTTAAAGCCTCCTCTTCTGCAAAATAATGAAACTTCATTTGTCTTCAAAAAAGTCATTTGGAAAAGAAAAGAAAAAAGCCAATATTGCCAAACTGGAAGAGGCACCTATTTTATAGAATGTTCCACTGATAGTTTTGGGGAAATATTATTTATTTTTATGTTCTCATTCAAGATAAACAGCCAGAATTACTCACAGCTGGAAAAGAATCAGCATCAGCATCAGAAGCATACAAAAAAAGTATAATTAACAACTATGCAGACAAGTCCTTCTTAAGGAGAGAGGGAGGATGACAGAAAAGGTATTTTGTGTCAAAGCAATCTCCAATCTGACAGATGTCACAGTCAAAACTACCCATGCATGACATTCTCACCTGAAGCATTCCGTAGCCTTCATCCTCTATGGTGCCCTTACAGGTGATATGAAGACGGGTGAGCTGTTTCTTTGAACTAAAGGTCAAAAACAACTTCATCAAAACACCAATGGCAAAATAACCACCACTCACTAAAACATTCATTTACAAGCACTGTTAAACAACTGCATCATAAATAGTGGCAAGCTAGAAATGCTATAGTGAACCGGGAGTGGAAGGTTACAATCATGACTTAAGCAATTTGAAATACAACCATCTCAGCGGTAAGAGTTTTCTAATAAGCAAAACAGAGAGGTGGTTTGGCCTCGTCTGCACTGCCAGAGGAAGCAATTGGCCAAAGTGACTACACAGTGCCAAAGTTCATTTATCAAGCACAAAGCGTTGTGAAGGAGTGATCTCAGTGATCTACTTTAAATGTCCGGGAGTCCTCTAGCTGTAGCACATTCAGAAATAAATCTGAGATTTATATAATGGTATATACCCTTTTTTAAATCACTACAGTACTTGTCGTCATTAAATAAAGCCAACAACAACACTGTACCAAGCACTATAAATAAGGTACCTTTCCCATTTTGGAAAACCGCTCAAGCTCTGTCGTGTGAATGTGACAAGGCCAGTGGGCACTGAAAATGAAAAAAAAAAAAAAAAAATCAGGAATATAATAAACATAAATTACACCACTTTAAATGTTGTTGGGTGGTATATTTTGTAAATAGGTCTGTTTACCTGGCCATAAACTTACACAACCTGCACACTTGCTTCAAGGGGCTTCACCTTTTTTTTATTGGACTGGATAAATCAACATGCCTAAAATATATTTTTTTCCTGTGATTAGTAATATGTGTAGCTCACGCAGATATTAAGGTACTGTTAAATACTTTGATTAAATTAGATTTTGAGCTTTTTATGTCAATGTTGTAATTTTACAACATTGGGCTAGAGTGGTAGCAAAATTTGCCTGTGCACCTTACACATTACATGAATGAATTGTACTTCTAATTTGTTAGCAACATACTTTTTGACCATTTATGTCAGTGACAAAATATAATATTGATTTTTATTGTCTTATTTGTTACCATTGTGAGTTTTATTCCAAAATAAAGGATTATTACAGTAAATGATAAGTTCAAGTTGAATTAAAAAATAAATGATTTCTTTGAGAATTTTTAATTATTTGTCATGCAATATTTAAAACTAAATTTTAAAATATACTTAACTGGTTCTGTTTTCTTTTCTGGGCTTAACTTGTTTGCTCAAATGTGTGCTTGATGCATGAGGGCCAGGTGATAATGTTCTGGAATGTGGGGGTTATACGTGCTATTATCATGATAATTATAAAACGGTTAGTTCTTTTCCTCGATTCTGATTGGTCAGCAGCTGTGTTTTATTCACGATACAGCACAGCTATGACCGCTTCACCCAACGTTCTGTGTATCACTGAGCAACACTGGTTTTAATATTTTTTATTGTGTGGTAACCGTTTTATAAAAGGTTGTCTGTTTTTAATTTACTCGAGGCCGTGCTGTATCGTGAATAAATCACTGTTGAAGGGGTTAAAGGCTGATTTATACTTCTGCGTCGGACCTACGCCGTAGCCTTTACGCCGTAGGCTATGCGTCAGTTTTCATTTATACTTCTGCGTCGGACCTACGCCGTAGCCTTTACGCCGTAGGCTATGCGTCAGTTTTCATTTATACTTCTGCGTCGGACCTACGCCGTAGCCTTTACGCCGTAGGCTATGCGTCAGTTTTCATTTATACTTCTGCGTCGTTGTCCGCGTCAACGTGCAGTACACAGGCACTCCGCTTGGCGTCGTGCCTAACAATGCCCTTCAGCCGTGATTTATTCACAATACAGCACAGCCTCTCGTAACTTATTGCTTAGTAAAGCACAATAAGCTATCAGACTGTATTGTTTGAAATCTGTGGAATGTGTGAATTCTGTGAAATGTGTGATTTCTGCAAAATTGGTGAATTCTTTAAAATGTTTAAGTATGATTGGGTTTGACTTGCATCAAGATTATTAAGCCTTGAAAAGTAATATAAAGATGCCTGTGAACTGGACAAGGAAAATGACCACCCATTTTTGTTGGCCCATCTGATGGTTATGTGAACATCATGCCAACAAAGCCAGGCCATTCAAGAACACAGACCATGTGCCGTAACAGGTAAAGCTGTCTGAAAAATGATTTTATCTGTCTCAAAATTAATTTCTCTGATTAGGATATCACTAAGAACAAAGACTTTGAGATGGACTCTGATACAAATGATAAAAAGTAATACAAAGATGCCTGTGAACTGGACAAGGAAAATGACCACCCATTTTTGTTGGCCCACCTGATGATTATGTGAACATCATGTCAACGAAACCAGGCCATTCAAGAACAGAGACTGTGCGCCGTAACAGGCACAACTGTCTGAAAAAGGATTTGATCTGTCTCAACATTAATTTCTCTGATGATGCAGTCTCCCATCATACACCACTGGAGTACTTCTGAAGGTTTGTGTCAGAAGATATGATCAAGGCTCTGACATCTAACACCAATGAGTAGTTTTCAAAAGAAAGGAGCATTTATAAAATCATTATGAGACTATGGGAATTGAACATGGCTATGAACAGAGCTAGACATTGTAAATACCAGTAAATAGTTTTGATTGAACATTTTTTTTTTTATAATATAATATTAATAAAAAACAGGACTTGTCTGATTATTATTATTGCGTGATTATTTGTGTATGGATATATAGGCTGCTGTTATGTGGCTACATAAGGCGTATGCCCTGCAAATGAACACTTAGATCATTTATAAATGGTGAAATAATTTTTTTACCATTTTTTTTCTAAATTTGGGTCTTACAGGGTTAAGAAAGTCTGAGCGTTAAGTGGATATTTGTACGGTTCGGCAGGTCCAGACTTACTTGATTCAGTGACTCTTCTGAAATAGCACAGCAGAGTTTTGAGTTTTTCAATCTTGCGTGAGGAAGAACCTTCAAACAGTCTAGAGCATGATAAAGATGCACAAAAATGTTGATTAGGTACATAAATTAGCAAAATCAATTCACACAATCCATGTTCACTTTCAGAGGATGTATTATCAACGCAGTCATAAACGACCATTAGAGGGAGACGTTTAGTTCTCAAAGTCAATGTGACGTATATGAGCTTCAGCACCAATTTCTGCAGGTTAGTGCGTCATTCTTGGGAACACGTGAGGAAAAAGAGGCCTTCCGTGTGATCGGACTTTGCCGCTTCATCTCACAAAGTCCTGTTTGCTCAGCACGCCTGCCTGTGATGGCCTCTCTGTCAGGACAACAATGATACGGACTCACGCCTGCGGGCTCAGAGCTGCACTTGTGTCCCATTTCACAAAAGACAATGCAGAGAAGAACACTTCTTCATTCCTCTAAAGACCATTAAAGAACTGCAGGCTTGCTTTTAAAAGTCCCAAATAGCAAAAGCCTTACAGTGGTCAGCCATGATGCCCCCCCACCCCCCAGCAAATGGCTTTCTCCATTTAGAATACTGCCGTCTTCAAGCTAACCATCTTCCACTTGCATTCATCCTTCCTCTTACTTGATGTAAATGGAATAAGCAGGAAAAAAGGGTGGAACAAATGAAATGACAGAGGAAAAACTGATGCACTAAAAGCCCTTTGGGAAGTAAGAAAGAGTTATTGAAGCCTCCTATATATATCCTTCTTGATGGTGGAGCTGATTTTATGTAATGTAACCCAGAAGGTAACCTGTTATTGACAGAAAATAGCTGCTTTTTAGTTAGAAACTGACTGTTGACCTTTAATATGAGAAATATGTGAGAAAATGTGATTTGATTCAACAAGACAAGCACCTATTAAAGGATCTTATAAACCTGATTTCAATAACAAGACAAGCTGGAAATTGCTAGGGTGAAATGAACATTTTTTTTAATTATTAAATTTAAATGTTAAACATTTTTTTTCCACAGTACATGCCAGGCAAAATGAGTTTTGTGTACAGGTCTAAAAACTACAAACATTTTGCCAATATATAAAACGCATGTTAATTATTTGGCCATTAGTCATGAATTTTCAAATGTAGTGTTTTTCACTAAATGGTAGCTATGGGGTAAAATGTGCCAGAAGTTTTAGGGCAAGTCGTCCCAGCGGCTCAATCTATATCATAGTGAGTCTTGCATTAAAATGCATGAAAATACTAATAACACATCTAATTACTAAATCATTCTAATATGCTGATTTGGTGCTCATGTAACATCTATTAGTATTATCAATGTTAAAAACAGTTGTGCTACTGAATACTTTTGAGGTATTAAACGTGTATAAAAATGTGATACATTTTCAGGATTCTTTGATAAAGTTCAAAAGAACAACTTTTATTTGGTAAGGAACATTTTTGATTAATTTAATGCTTAAATCTTAGCGACCCCCAAACTTTTGAATGGTACTGTTTGTGATCAAGGATTTTCCCCCACAGTAACCTATTGTAAGTCAAAAATGTTAAATTAGTCCAATTTAAGTTGATAGTGGACATCCAGAATTATAACTGATTTCTTCTTGACAAAAGGACAGTTAAGTAAACTGACACAGGTTTACCCCATTCACACATAAATGTAATTCAATAAATGCAGTCGATGTACAACACAATGTAAATCTCACATAATCGAAGGTGACGAACATGGCAACAGATGTCAATTTGGCGGCTCCTAATCAATCTGAATCTTTACAAGAAACAATGACAGCTGTTCGGATCTCACTGGTGGATCTGTATTCATAGTTTTGCAGGTGTACTGCTGGAAAGCTTGCTTTGATGTGCACATTTTGAAACTAAAGTAAATATATCTTCAGCAATCCTATATGTCATTTCCCAGAGGGCAGACTATGACAGCTCTGCCAAACAAGCAATCTCTAAATTGCCTGGTGTTTGATAGCAGCAGTGCTCAAGCCAATGAGTAAACTGATGGACAGTCACTCATTTAAAGTGGGCTGCACCGTAACGATCCACACGTCTGGATCCTCTGCGGTCTTGCTGAAACTTGTTTTCTGCAGCATGGCTGAAGTCACGGCCCACAATGTCCTAACTAGTACTACTTAAAAAAAAAAAAAATAGAATGGTACTTGTTTGTTAGTGTATGATGCTTGCGCACACTTTGTGTCTCTGTGTTCACCTGAATGACCAATTAGATTTAATGCTGATCTCACTCAGACCTTCATTATCTAGAGCACTTTAACTATGTCCAGCAGGGACGAAAAAGGCAGAAACAAGACAATGGCTGCAAATGAAGTCAAATGTATTAAATTTAGCTCCTCTGTATGTCTTGAAGTTTGTATAAGTACTTGAAGTGCCTGGGGAATCAATAGCCATCTCAGCATGACAGAGTAAAACTGAGGGCTGCTGCTACGTTTTTCTGAATGTGTGCGGCACGATGAACCACAGGCAGTTTTCCTAAAGAGTTTTAAAGGATAATTCTCTTACTCTGACTTGCATGAAAACAACTTAATTAAAGCAGAGACAATCTATGACTGGCATTTTTACAGGATAAGTGCTGTAACTACAGCCATATTAAAGATGAAGTGTCTAATTTCTGCACCACTACCATCATCAAATTAAAATAATGCCTGTTTTCAAACAGGTTTCCTGATGACTTTCCTAAACACCCATTTTCAGTTAGTTAAACAAACACAGTGTCACTGTATTAATACTCTTCTTGGAATGGCGTACAGTTGTCACTTTTCACTATGTTTTGCTATGAAGAAAAAATAAGGAAAATTATATTTAAATTATATATATGTGTGTGTGTAATATATATATATATATATATATATTAGTATCGTACATACCTGTATATAGTTTTAGCTGTATAAATATTAAACCTGTATATATTAAATTAAGACATTTTAGCATCTACAGCATAAACAAATATTGTTTTCATCATGTGACTCTCTCAGTGACAAGTGGAAAGTAAAGCACACTGACACTCTCCCCACAGCTAAATATACAATTATATACTATAGTATTAACTATTTTTAATTTTAATGAATACATAAACGTTGTATGTATGTAATGTATGAATAATAAGGGATAATCAACGGTTTGCTGTGCATTAAAGGATTTTAAATGCACGACGTGGAGGCAAAAAACCACTCGATGCGGCAAGCCGTTGATTATCCCTTAAATATATACATACATACAATTAGGCTACTTCAAAAACATTTTACCACCTCGTTGCTAAGGAATATAATGTAGCGATCTAGTAACAAGTTTATGTGCGATCTGCGATCTCTGACTCTCTTTCTCTGTGTGTGTGTGTGTGTGTGTGTGTGTGTGTGTGTTTGTGTGACATGCGAGTGATGTGTGTGGGTTTGTGTGCATCAATTAGCATCAAATAACAGTGCATAGAATGGTGATTAAACTGACTTGGAACTACCTGTGCATTAAACTGACTTTTTTTAGTTTTACTGCATACCTGCCAGCCAATCAGAATCCAGTATTCAGACAGACCATGGAGGAAAAAAAACAAAAGAAAAAAAACAAAAACAAATTAATATATATATGTATGTATGCATGTTGACAACTCATTTCACATGCTACAGCATTAACAAATAACACTTCATCACTTCATTGTCATGTGAATCTCTCAAGTGACAGGGAGCCATATAAAATGGGCTTTTCTAAATATCTGGCCATATGACAAAAACTATGTACAGTTAACTAGATTAAAACACATCTTACTGCTCTGTCAACGATATGTACCCTTCGATATACTGTTGTTGAATACCAACAACATCTCCATGTAGTGAGATGAGCTCTGGCTGCAGGAGATCCTGCTCATCCGAGTAGGCACGATGACAGACGAGAGATGGATGGCCACGCACTTCACATCAGTCTCCCTAGCATCTAATTCATTTGTTTTAATCAGCCCGTAAAGGCTTGATTTAAGAATTGTACCACATGAGTGGCTTTGTTGTACAGCTGCAATTTAAGAGAGGAGAGAAACTCCTACACGTTGTCTCCTCTACACGCTGTATAACGGCAAAGACGATATCTATCAAACCAAACAACAGCGAACTAGGAGAATCACAGTCAACCAAGACCTTTTTTGTAACATTAGCCATATTGTGTAAGTCTTAAAACTCTAAAATTGTAAATTTGGCAACACACAATTTTGTTCACAACATATTTCTAAACCCATAATTGGAGTCCGAAGCATCATCGCCCCCTTATGGGTGATTCAATATTAAAACATTTAATGATGTTTTAAAGTCAGAACAGTGCAAATGGTCATTGTAAATGAAAATCACATTGTTGATTTGTGAATGTGGAGGAGTGTAATTTTGATAAAGAGGAACCTTCACTAAATTTGATACTTGAGGCCTCCACATTCCACATTAACAGGCCAAAATCCATTGTAAATGTAATAGAAACAGACTACTAGATAATGGGAAGCTAAATTAAATCATGTCGTGACTTACCTAACAGCCTACAGATAAACCCTAATTTGGATGAAAATCTAAAACCTCAGACAATCAATAACTAGACTGGCAAAATATGTAACGGGTCTCCAGAGCGACGCCACTGAAGAGGAGGCAGTACCTGTAAAAATTGATCTCGGGGTAGTTGGCATACTCGGACTTGCGCGAGTTGCGTCTGGGAAATGTACAGAAGAAGGCATTGGCAAGAAGGCAGGCAATTTGTTCCTGTGACACGGTCAAGGACTGATTCATCCTTGTCTTAAGCAGCGGGATTGGCTGTGGAAGAGGAGAGAGAGGCAAAGATAATTAGTTTAGCAATTGACCAAACAGGGAGACAGAATTACATTAAGCAAATGGCCAGCAGTAATTAAGGTGCCCTGCTGTATCCCACCATCAGCCAGCAGCATTTACACCGAACGTCATCCATCTCCACTGATCAGACTTAATGACTCTTAAGGGCAGTATAGATGACTAATCAATGCAAACATTAATAAAAAGTACATAAATAAAGAGTGGATCTGAGCTAGAAGAGATTTATTTTTTTAAGGGCAAAAACTCCTGAATTCTTAAAGGCTTCTTATCTGTGCAAGATCTTACATAAACAGTGATTCAATGGCTAAGTAGAAACTAGCTTACTGAATAGTTTGCAGCCTTGTCTTGCCTATATTTATTCAGTTTAAAGCTGAATTGTTTATTTTCTCAATGTTAAAAATGCTTTAATCTATTCTAGCTTAATATGTCACTCTATCAAACACTGTTTCTAAATGGTACTTCAGAATCTTACAAATAAAAAATGTAAAATACATAAATAAAAACACACAATAGCTAAAACCCAGCCTAAGCAGGTTTAAAAGCTGGAAGTAGCTGGTTTTAGCTGGTCTCCCAGCCTGGCCAATCTGGTTTTAGGTGGTTGGTCAGCTGGTCTTCCAGCCTGACCAGCTAAAGAATTGGTCAAACCCCCACTAAAACAAGCCTGCAAACCAGTTATGACCAGGCTGTAAGACCAGCTAAAACCAGCCAACCATTTTAGGCTGATTTTAGACTTTTTTCTTCAGCAGGAAAATAAAATGATAACATGAGGATTAACATAGAAGTACATTTGTGAAAACTTAAAGCATTAAATTTAGATGCATTTAAGAACATATCCCTCAACATTTTTGCTCTGATGTCAGAAATTAGCCTGATGGACATCTACCATTGGCCTCCATTAGTTCAGATGATAATGAGGCAGTTGTGCTCATGTGGAAGTGTCCTTCACTAGCCACTGATTTTACACCGCAGCACGCTGGGCCCATTGACCTTTACCAGCCAGACATGATTATCACTACTGATCTATTTTTACCCCAAAACCTGAGCGTCTCTCCAAGCCAATGTGAAGGACAGCATATGATTTTGTGTAGCCTCACCTGGGTGCAAATCTTGGGCGTATTCAAAACCAGTTTCATCATCTTTGGCAATGTGACGTTAAAGAGATGCTGTACTTCTTCATTTTCCATACCCTGCAGGAGAAGGATTAAATGTGTTTGATAGCGGATTAGGATTAACAAACAAATGAAGAAACAGGTCTGTTCACACTTTAAATATACACAACTATTTAAATTGGTTTAAAGTCTGTAAGATGCATTTATTTAATCAAAACAGTAATATTGCTAAATATTATTACAATTTAAAATAACTGTTTTGTATTTGAATACATTTTAAGTTATAATTAATTCCTCAGTGTCTTCAGTGTCACATGATCCTACAAAAATCATTCTAATATGTTGATTTGCTCGAGAAACATTTCTTAGTATTGTCAGTGTTAAAAACAGTTGAAACCATAATACATTCTTTCTCAATTGAATCTGAGATGAATATAAAGTAAAGTTTCTTTTAAATCAATTATTTGTAACAATCTGAGTCTTTGTCACTTAAAAGAAGTCAATATTTGTCTATTAAATTAAATTAAAGTGACACCTCTGCTTAGAGAATGAATCATACTTTTGAGTATTACCAATTAAAGATTTACAACATTACCATGTTATGTCCTCAATCTAATAAGAAAGAAAAAGAAATGTCAACTGTCTGGTACAAAATAGAATAAACAATCAAGCCTTTTTAGTATGAGTTTCTAAAACACCATTTAATGGAAAACAACTGTCAGAAAAAGGAGCCATATTGTTGAATAAGACACTTGAACCCAGCTGTCATATAGAGTATTATTCATGTGTCGGGGGGAAAAAAAAACGATAGGACGTTATGCTGTCAGAATGACATCAATAGGTGAACAAAAATGATTTGCATCCTGAGCTGCTGGCTTTTGGCAACAAAAACAGGTTGCTTTCAACTTTTGCAAGTAAAACATAAAAGCTCAGAGTGCACTGGATAAACACATTAAACGCAATTATTAACCATATTAGTGGAGTTCTTATGGGCAATCCCAGCAATCATTTTATCTCTCTATTGCCTGGAGCATCCAAAAAGCTTGATTCAGGGAATTAATATATACAGTGGGTACGGAAAGTATTCAGACCCCCTTCAATTTTTCACTCTTTGTTATATTGCAGCCATTTGCTAAAATCATTTAAGTTAATTTTTTTTCCTCATTAATGTACACACAGCACCCCATATTGACAGAAAAACACAGAATTGTTGACATTTTTGCAGATTTATTAAAAAAGAAAAACTGAAATATCACATGGTCCTAAGTATTCAGACCCTTTGCTGTGACACTCATATATTTAACTCAGGTGCTGTCCATTTCTTCTGATCATCCTTGAGATGGTTCTACACCTTCATTTGAGTCCAGCTGTGTTTGATTATACTGATTGGATCTGAATACTTTCCGTACCCACTGTAAAACTCCTCGGTTTGTCAGTGTAGCAAGAAAAAACTCACTCGTGTCCGAAAAGGCAGTAACAAAACTTGATCTATCGCACAGAGGTTACAAAAACGTAATTTTGTGATATTAGCGGAGCTCCCACTGGTGAATGACATGACTGAGGTGGAAATAAAGACAAAGCCCTCGGTGCACTTTTCATCTCGGGTAAAATACAGCTAAGCAACGTCACCGTAGATCTCCGATCAGGCAAAGAGCACTGCTTTGTGATATTCATTCTGAAGCGGAGGGTGTCAAAACAGCACACGCTGGCTCAGCAACCTTGTATGATTTCGGGAAAAATAAATACGCTACTGTTTTATCACACAGATTTACAACACACTTATTTACAAATATATTGGCTGCGATTGGCAGCGCGCTCAGTCATGGGCCCATTTCATCAAGGTTACTGGGCGTGCTCAGCTGATTAAATGGGATTCCTGGAACAGATGCAAATGGGTTGAGGAAGGAGAGGCGGCGCAGGGCTCTTCTGGACGGGAAGCCTCGCCTGACAATTTAACCAAGGAGCATTTATACACCCGCAAAGGAGGCCTGACTAAATGCTGTCATAAGTAATGACCTGCTTGACATCGTAAAGTGCTCCTCTGGGTTTAATGAGTGAGGAGAGCTGACAGGCCGGATGGGCCTGAGCTGAGGTTGCAGGAGTTAGACCTCACTAAATCAAACGGCCTCCTTCATTCCCCCTTATTCTGCCCAACCAGAACCTGTTAGATAACATACTACAATCTCTATCCAATCCAACCAATAAAAATTCAAAGGGTGGTCGGATGAGGTCATTATTTTCTTATTTTTTGATTTGTGAGTACATAAACTGAAAATAAATAGCAGATTTTTCTTGGACACTCCGCATTATGAGTACATGACATATCGAGCTTCGTATTTTACACGCCATTTTTGGGGTTTTAAAGGGGCATATCACCCGTGAACATGGAAATTCAACCATCATTTACAAACCCTTATGCTGCTCCAAACCTGTATGACTATTTTTTTATTCTGCAGAACACAAAAATATATTCCCAAGAATATTTCAACCATTTTTTCTATTCAAACAAAGTCAGTGAGGTTCAAACAACATACTGTCGGACATCTTTGACTTTCATTGTGCGGGGATGAGTGAACCATCCCTTTAAGATCCAAAAAAACGAAACTGTATTGTAATTCAAATGAAATCCCTGTGTCAAAATAAAATAAATTAAAATAAAATAAAATAAAATAAAATAAAATAAAATAAAATAAAATAAAATAAAATAAAATAAAATAAAATAAAATAAAATAAAATAAAATAAAATAAAATAAAATAAAATAAAATAAAATAAAATAAAATAAAATAAAATAAAATAAAATAAAATAAAATAAAATAAAATAAAATAAAATAAAATAAAATAAAATAAAATAAAATAAAATAAAATAAAATAAAATAAAATAAAATAAAATAAAATAAAATAAAATAAAATAAAATAAAATAAAATAAAATAAAATAAAATAAAATAATAATAAATGCTGTCATAAGTAATGACCTGCTTGACATCGTAAAGTGCTCCTCTGGGTTTAATGAGTGAGGAGAGCTGACAGGCCGGATGGGCCTGAGCTGAGGTTGCAGGAGTTAGACCTCACTAAATCAAACGGCCTCCTTCATTCCCCCTTATTCTGCCCAACCAGAACCTGTTAGATAACATACTACAATCTCTATCCAATCCAACCAATAAAAATTCAAAGGGTGGTCGGATGAGGTCATTATTTTCTTATTTTTTGATTTGTGAGTACATAAACTGAAAATAAATAGCAGATTTTTCTTGGACACTCCGCATTATGAGTACATGACATATCGTGCTTCGTATTTTACACGCCATTTTTGGGGTTTTAAAGGGGCATATCACCCGTGAACATGGAAATTCAACCATCATTTACAAACCCTTATGCTGTCTCCAAACCTGTATGACTATTTTTTATTCTGCAGAACACAAAAATATATTCCCAAGAATATTTCAACCATTTTTTCTATCCAAACAAAGTCAGTGAGGTTCAAACAACATACTGTCGGACATCTTTGACTTTCATTGTGCGGGGATGAGTGAACCATCCCTTTAAGATCCAAAAAAACGAAACTGTATTGTAATTCAAATGAAATCCCTGTGTCAAAATAAAATAAAATAAAATAAAATAAAATAAAATAAAATAAAATAAAATAAAATAAAATAAAAGGGCAGTTAAAGTCCTAAACCAACCAGTATTTCTTACTTGCAAAATCAACCAGTTCCATTCATTGCATGATTTATATAATTAGCATTTTTCTGCAGGTCAGTATGTTTAGACAAATACTGTGTGTTGGCTTCAGGGAATCCCGCTATTCTGAGACACTGAAATAAGATGGTTGTGTAGGCGAAGGGCTAGAGGCTGAAGTGGAGTTCTGTGCACTGAGCCAGCAGTGTGAATTTATCAGAGCCCACTTCTCTGACACTTTCATTTCAGGGTAGGGCTGAGGCTCAACTACAATTTATGACAAGTCCGGTCCTAATTTGTATTTTGCTTCTTTCCATAGCCATTACACCTCTGTTGTCAATCAAAATCCCAGCAGCCGCTCAGCTTTGTGACAATTATTGGAGTCCTGCGGTAACAGACACAATTTGAAGACACCAGAGAGCCATTCTATTTGCACACCTTATAGGGCCGATAACAGCACGGGTAAATACAGAATAACACCGAGTATAAATGCAGCTACAGAATGCATGTGATCTATTCAGATGAAAACTATATTAAGAATTATTCTGTTATTCTTGAGCTTTAATCAAATTGAAAATAATAATGAAATTTTGTTTCATGACATTCTTATCTTCAAATGTTATTTCACAGCCAATAGATTTAAATGGTCATACTCATTATTCCACAAGTCTCCAATAACATAAACATCTGTCCTGAAATTTAAATTCACATAGAAGGACAGATAAGAAGACCACTTTATGTCCCAGAGGAAACCGCTTTCAGATAGTAGGCCTGTTCACACCAAAGAGGATAACTATAACAATAGTTTTAGAAATTGTTCTAAATTTAGAAGAATAACAGAGTCCACAGCACAACTACAATGTTAACGGCACACAGAGAAAAAATATAGTTGGAATCACTTTCAAAGTTTTTTCAGTTCATTAACGATAAAAATACTGACAGCCAATCAGAATCCTTCCTGCTTTAGAAGATCCAGCATTTAAATCTGCAGATCACAAAACTGCAGTGTGCACTTATTATAAATGGAATGTTATTGTGCATTAGTGTTGACACAAATATAGCTATCATTGTAGTCATCTTTTTAGTTACCGTTCTTGTTGTGAATGAGCCTTAAGCCTGCACTGATTCTTAATTTCATTCACACAGAACCGAAGCGGAGAGTGGGAGCTGCCATAGTTTCACTATGGCCTGTATGCAGCATTGCGTAAACATGGATTTATTTTTTGATGTGGTCTTGTTGCTCTATATTCTGCTTTAAAAATGTTTGATTGACAGTCATAGTGCAAGCACACATTTGACATGCACGATTCAAAACTCTCTTACAGTTATTAACTGACCGCTGTTCAGAGATGTTTCATTTAATCTCTTAAATTGAAAATCAATCGCCAACTCTCCAGGCTG